TTTTTACTTGTCTAAGGGAGCGGTCATTATTTCTGGCGGGGGTGGCACCGAAGAGAAAAGGGTTGGGTGAACAAAATTTTGAGTGAGTAAAAGGTTGAGTAAATGAAAAAGAAAACTCATGGGTTGGGTGATAAAAATTTATTGTCATTTCCAAAGCATGACTCACTGAAATATTGGAGACTGAGAAGCAACAGTCATCAATATGGCAATATGTCAAATATGGCAAGATGTCAACAGTCATATGTCAATACAATATGTGAATCAATCAGAGTCACTATATCTTGATAATTTCCCCATTTGTTGGGAGGCAAATGGTGTCTCCAAAGAAAGTACATGTGCAGACAACATGAAACTTTAGACTGCAGAAAATATCACAAGCTGTTATCAAACTCATGTCACAGAAGTGGTAAAGGACATGTGTGAAACTGAATTGTAACCATTTGTAACATTTTTGGCAAGGGGTGGGTATTTATTTTTTAATTGATATTTGAGGTTGGGTAATCTTTTTTTTTACTATTTAATGGTTGGGTCAGCAAAATGTTTGCCACAAAAAACATTTCTCTTCGGCACCCCCCCCCCCCTTTGACTTGTTATTAAACCATAAGTGAAAACTATAATTGATCTGTAATGTTTAGTATAACCAATTTCTCGTATAAATATTTATATTAATTTGTAATATTAGTATTTATTAATATTTATATATTTTTTTGCATTAAAAAATTAAGAGTGATGAACAACATTGTGTGTCATTTACTATTCCTATAGGAAATTGGGATAAATTTCCTATAGAAATTGCTGTAAGATATGATATGTCATACTGCAAAACCAGAACAGTCAAAGTGATGTACTTTCCAGAAGGGTGTATTTATTAATAAAATGTTTCAGTGACAGTGTTAAATTAAACAAACTTTAGCAACAGGTAGCTAAAATGCTTCTTATGGTGAAATAAGCTTAGACTTGACACATAACTGGTTAAATTACTTAAATATAATCATGAATTGTTACCGATTGTATTCTAGTTTGGATAAATTTATTCAATAGTTTGGATAAATAATTTAATTCCATCTACAAAATCCTTTCAACATTTTGTGTGTGAAAAGCCAGCTTTTCACCTTGGGTATTAAACAGTCGAGCTTGGGGTTCTCAAACAACACTGGTTCCATTGTGAACTGTGCATTGTGATTGTGCAAACAGAACAAAATGCTTCCATTAACTTTGTGTATCAAGTACTTGATAAATACTAAATTTTCGTAGATTACATTCTAAATTAGACTCTTCAAATTGTCAAGTACAATGTATAAAAATGCTTCCATTATTAACTTTGTGTATCAAGTACTTGATAAATACTAAATTTTCGCAGATTACATTCTAAATTAGACTCTTCAAATTGTCGAGTACAATGTATAGAATTGCGTTGATGCAAACAGATAGGTGGAGGGCGACAATTTACACAATAATCTTGTAACATCTGCGTACACGGTACACAATATATATTGATTTCCATAGTCGTGAATGTGACTGATAATCCGAGTCTTGAACTTTATCATTCAATTCGTTTCAAATGTATTTAATCCTTCAAATATCCATGTAGTTGGTTTCCAGCAGTCTTGAATTTGTCCATATCATAGTTTAAGCAAAAATTTACATGTAAATATCTGATTTCTACCATATAAATTCTCTGATATAAATTTAATACCAGTTTATATAATTGCCACTCTTCGCGCCAGCCATTGTTTATTGTTAACCCGCATTTCCTTCCCACCCGCAACATTCCTTTAGAGCAAAAGAGCCAATCACAATCAACTGCTCAACAGCCTGAACCAGGGCCACTGTGAGGGCCGCCCGAGCTTGGGCCTGGGGACGAGGATGCGTATCATCTAAAATCTCTTCATTTTAGCATTATTCTACAGATAAAGCACTAAACATACTTTTTAAGTATATATTTATATATATATATATATATATATATATATATATATATATATATATATATATATATATATATATATATATATATCCGCGTCCGGCAAGTTGAGACCTTGAGAAAGCTTGGCAGTCAAGCTGTACACAGAACTGACTAATTGAATCTTCGTTTGCTGTTCGGTTAAATAGAGAAACTGACTCTTAATTATATAAAAGTACCTTGAATTTTTAAGTTTAATTAAAAAGCAAAATGCTCTGCGGACATGTTCATGAGAATATAATTTTTTGTGTAACGAAATCTACAACACTTGTCAATCATATTGCATGTGTGTCTAAAAATAACATGTGGGCGTCCCACGGTCTAGACAGGTTTTGTGTCAGGCCCTATTTCAAATTAGGGCCTGAACTTCAGGTTAGTTAGCATGTTCTCATAGGTTGATATATAATTAACTAAGATTTCCGATTATACGCCACGCCTCCGAAAAACTTCTTATGCTAGGAGCGGTCATCTCATTGGACGATTCTAAATGTAATTGACGTTTGAGCAAGAATACTGGCAAAGGATTGGATAACTTTGATCTCTGACGTCACTTTCCTGTGATAATTGCTCGAAACCAAATACAGTACCGTTTCGTTCCTGCGGGGAACGAAACAAAAATGTGAAAATATAAATTGCTGATTCAGCACAACGTGTGACGTCATTAGCTGGGTAAGTATGTTTATTGGATACTACACTGAAGCATAGCTCAGTTATTATGGGCCCAAATCAAATGAAATTTTGCATACTGATTGTACATAATGAGACGCGTGGAAAAACACTTCTAATTTTGTTGCCAAGGTAACAATGTCGTTTCCAGGCCCCTTGCGCCAATTTTATGAAACAGCTTTATTCAAGGTACTGATAAGAATAAAATAATATCAGAAGTATGTGTATGATACCTATGCATGCCAAAAGTTTACTTGCATGATAATAATTCGAAAATGACATACACATAGATAAATGCAACTAGTTATTCAAAATCAGTGTAAGGGGCCTGGGAACGACTGCGTTGCCTTGACAACAAAATTAGAAGTATTTTCCCATGCGTCTCATCATGTACTATCCGTATGCAAAATGTCATTTGATTTGAGCCAATAATAACTGAGCTATGCTTCAGTTTACTATTCATTAAACATACTTACCCTACCAATGACGTCACACGTTGTGCTGAATCAGCAATTTATATTTTGCACATTTTTGCGTATAACTTCGGAACCAGATGAGATAGAATAGAGCAGTAACCGGCCAATCGACTTATTTTTTCATGCTCTTTCAGATAAAGCAATAAAAATTTTTATTGCCATTACCCTTTAACCTAAAATTCAAAGCAAACTTCCAACAGCTTGTTTATAAAATGGAAATATTTCTTCAGAAATCTTGCTTGAATCAAGTTTTGAAAGGTTATTTCAAGTTCAACCATGCAGGGTTAGCGCTAACCCACCTTTGAACAACCGGCCCCAGAAGGTGAATTGTGATGTGTTTACAAATTGGGGAATAAAAATTACTCATCAAAAATAGGAATAACTACGGCAGGCTGCGATAATGTAAGATTTTAAGTCGTGCTTGACTTGGTTGTTGTCGCGTCCTTGAGCTATAGTACAAACTTAGTACTTAATGTGTATTTAGTCATTAAAATAAGGTTCATAAAGTACAGGTTTCTGAAAAGCATGTTCAGACCAAGAAGTAGAAAATGAAGCCAATTGGCGAAAATGAATATATAAATAATCGACTCCAACGTTTCTTTGTGGCATCAGTCCAGTCATGTTTGATGCCAAGACATCTCAGACACATGACATACCAACTATAAATTACGGTATTGAAGGTACAAAGATGCCAACAGTAATACTTTGGTTTGCAGCTAAGTATCCAGGGAATTTTAAACATCATTGTAGGTTTTTCTACTAGAAGTTAAAAATTTCTGCCAAAGTGTGAAATATTTCAATAATGTTTCAGGACTGTAGCGTCTATTTCCTTATCAGTGGCTGCCTGCAAGTCTCTCAGAAAGACATGGATTCTAGCGACGAGGTATATATAGTATGTTAAGATAACACGGTTTTCATCGACCAATCTCACAACTTGTCAACAGGCTTGCAGCAAGCTTGTAAGTTGTAACAATAGTTGTCATTTCATCAAGTTGCTACAATGTTGTCACTCACAACTTGTTAACAAATTATTGAATTCAAGGACGATAACATGTTGGAACAACTTGTGACAAATGTTTTGAGTCGACAACATTATACACGCGTAAAAATTGAGAAAATCAACGACTTGTTCCAGGTGGATATCAACAGGCGTGAACAAGGTTGTGCGGCCCACTATGAACAGTATTGTCAACATGTTGTTACAGCATTGTTCAACTGTAACAACTTGGTTGACAACTGTTACAGCATTGTTCAACTGTAACAACATGGTTGACAACTTGTTCATAGTTGGCCGCGCAACATTGTTCACGCCTGTCGATATCAACTTGGAACAACCTGTGCGCGTTTTTAGCCGTGTGGCAAGTTGTCAACAAACTGTTGACAAAGTTGTCAACAAGATGGGTACAAGCGTTGCTAACACATCCTAAAACGAGTTGTTGCAACAGTTTTACGTGTGTTTACAAGTTAAAATTTTCTTTGATGTGGAGAAAGCGTACTACAATAAATTGCAGTGCTTGTCAACTTTCGTTGAGATTTAACGTTGTCTTCTGTAAATAAGCGTTTGTTTATTGTGCTTCGCTTCCAAACATCATACAACAATTGCCTTAAAGAGGGAAGCCTCGCAGTGCCTCGGAAAGTCGTCTCCAATTGGATGGGGGGTTTTCTAAAGAACGAAGCAATTCATTGTTCTGAACACAAAGCAATTGTCAAGTCGGGCCAATGAAAATCACTCTTCCGAGCTACTGCGAGGCTACCCCTTAAAGAACCTGGGACACCATAACAGGTTAACGCCAATTACAGTGGGCATGACAAGCCATGTGAACTGTTTTCAAGCAACTATATAACCTTTAGAAACTGATGAAATATATCCCATTTAGAACGTGTTGTACGTCACTCATCCTGGGGAATTCGTGGGCAGTCTCTCCGTCATAACTGGCGAACCATCACTGTTTACAATCAAGGCTGTCAAGTTTTGTCAACTTGGTGTCTTGAGCAAAAGTGATATCTACGGGTACGATTGTGTAATTTATGACTGCAGACAACTGTCTATTGTTTTTTCTCAAAGATTGATGCATGGAAGAGTTTCTTCTGTACTCATTTGATGTGATGAAATCACTCTGAGTGTTCCATCCCTATATAACTCAAGAGACCCATCCCTATATAACTCAAAGCTTGTAGCCAGAAGGGTGTATTGGGACGCCCTACAACGAAAAATGGCCCAAATTCCGGGGAGGAAAGTGTAATGATTCTCAATGATTTCCCTAAATATATTAACATATCTCAAACGAAATAGCTTCAGTTTTCAATATTATTATACATTTGACGTTTTGATTACTTTGATGATAAAAATGTCGTAGTTACGTAAAGAAGCATAGCAGCACAAAGCTCACAAAGCCGGGGATGTTTGAAAAATTTCGACCCCCCCCCTCCCCGACGTAGATGGGTCATTGTACCAAAATTGGACGCCCTTTTTCAGGCTAAAAGGCCTGCCTAACCCTAATGCAATCTTTTCCGACGAATTTTTGGTGTGATGTCACTACATCATTAATTTGCGTGGAGAATAGTTTTCCCCTTTGATACACGCGCATTCTCACACTTTCGTGTTCATTTTAGTATTCTTCTACAAAGACCACGTGTTATTCTGAATCTCAGCAGTACGCTGACGTCACGATTGACACCGCTGGTCAGAAATATTGACTACGCTCTTGACTGGGTTTACATGGAAGCTGGACGAGCCATATACAGGTATGCTGTTGTGAAGATAGCTGTGTTTATAGCTATATTAACTATCAGTTCTAAACTGTTCTCCATGGAGGTCCAGTATAAGGATCTTCTCTTAGAAGTCATCTCTTACTGGTAGGAGTCATCTCTTACTGATCCAGTGTTACTAGAAAAACTTAAACTGAACAAACTTTATTTATAGCTCTATCAGTTCTAAACTGTTTTTCCTAGAGGTCCGGTAGGAGTCATCTCTTATTGATCCAGTCTTACTACCGGAGGAAACCTAAACTAAACTAACTTCATTTATACTGGATAGCTCTATCAGTTCTAAACTGTTTTTCGTAGAGGTCCGGCAGGAGTCATCTCTTATTGATCCAGTCTTACTACCGGAGGAAACTAAACTAACTTTATTTATACTGGATAGCTCTATCAGTTCTAAACTGCAGTTCTCCCTAGAATTCCAGTAAGGATCATCTATTATTGATCCAGTGTTACTACCGGAGGAAACCTAAACTAAACTAACTTCATTTATACTGGATAGCTCTACCAGTTCTAAACTGTTCTCCCTAGAGGTCCTGTAAGGATCATCTCTTATTGATCCAGTGTTACTACAGGAAGAAACATGAACTAAATTATTTATACTGGATAGACACATGCATTAACCATGCATTGTAAACCAAAACCTTACACAGGCCCAAGAACAGGATTCTGTGACATCTTAGGGAATATAAAGCTATAGTTATTTTGAGTCTTTGCATGCATGAGAGCACTCACTCATATATAGGTGTTTTCCCCCCAGACAAGGCGACCAGTCAGATTGTCTATATATTGTTCTCAATGGTCGTCTGAGATCTGTTGTCACTCAAAATAAGAAAAAAGAACTGGTCGGTGAACATGGTCGAGGGGAATTAGTTGGCGTGGTAAGTATGTACGTATACTGTATGTACCATAGGCGAAATTTCCTGGAAATCATATCCGAGGGCGCGCATGGGAAAGTCAGCTTCCCTTAAATATAGGTTATATAGGCATGCATCCTTAAAAAATCAACACGAAACAGTTCTCACCAGTTGAAATTTTTATAATATATGGAAATTGATGCGTATTCTAAAACATGTAATATAAGGCTCTTTTCATCGCAAAAACCAGCTCGCAAGCTTGTTGCTAGTACTTTCATCCAAGCGCAATGCTCGACTATTTGATAGCTATAAACGCATTCGCAGTGAGTTGGTATTTGCGATTAGTAGGAAAGATATAAGATGACCGTACGAACATTGGTATTTTTTAGGTAGAAGCGTTGACGCAAAATCCACGAATGGCTACCGTTCATGCTGTGCGGTAAGATTCATATGGTATCACGGTCCGGCTTAGGGCGTGTTTCACTATAGGCTTTGCTAGACAACATGCATTTGGACTTCTATGGATAAATATTAGCCAATTAGCGAATAAAGAATTCCACCATAGGTTTTGCTAGACAGAAACATCGCTAAACAAAACCCCACGACCCCATCCGATTGAGAGAATGGAACATGACTTAAAAAGCTTTATATTACAGTAATATCTTACGAATCCTTGCGACATACAATAGAGGTATAGAAGACGTACGGCTTTATTGAGATTTTATTTTTATTTTTTTTATACAGTGATACGGAAGTGGCCATTCTTCCTGACGGATTACTGAACGTTATAAAGCATAAATACCCTCAGGTGTGTACGAAATACCGAAATTAGCAAAAAATACAGACTTTGATAAAAATTACTTTGGTTCATTTTGAAGATATAAAATAAATTAGTTAATAATTCTATTAATATATTAACATTTAATTCTTCTCTTTAAATTGTTGTGAAAATGTTTTGAAACCTGTGTCACTGTGTTTTAGGTCGTCAGCCGACTTATTCATTTATTGGGGGAGAGCATTCTTAGTCCCATGAAAGCTATGCAGTTAGGTTGGTTGCTTTATATAAACTTAATATCGAAATTTTACTGCCTTTATTTATTCTGGATAGCCCTACCATTTCTAACCTGTTTCCCATGGAGGTTTTAATTAAAGGCATCTGTTATTGCTTTGTCAATGTTATTATGAGAGGAAACCTAAACTAAACCATTTTATATTGGACATACCCTGCCACCAACCACTTGAGTTCTATCAATTCTATATGAGAATGCCGTAAGAAAACCTTTCAAAAAGGAAACCTCTCAAATTAGAATGCCGTAAGAAAACCTTTAATACTTGGTTGAGTCAAACCATAGCCTATCGAAGAGAAGATGGCTGTGAAACTCATTAGAATAACAATATAACTCATTATCTATGTTAGTCAATGTTTATTCATAAATCTTTCACCGTCATGTGTGTATTGTATTTTTGCCAAATCCACCAATAGCAATTTCCAATTTATCCTATTGTTCGAGTCACGGATAGATAGCATTGCTATTGGTTAGTTGGGCAAAAAATACAATACGCACATGACGGTGAAGGACCAGATTTATGAATAAACATTGACTAACATAGATAATGAGTTATATTGTTATTCTAATGAGTTTCACAGCCATCTTCCCTTCGATAGGCTATCATGGTCAAACTAGAAGCACTTTTTGTCCTGAGTGCCAGAATTTTAATCGCTTCTTCCTTGTTCTAGAGCATTCAGGAGAAGCGAGTGAAGTGGGAACGAATTTGGGAACGATAGCTATTGTCCAGGCTTCTGACGAAGTGCCGTTAAGCAACTTCGCGTTCGAGTTAAGTTTGGCGCTAAACAGTATAGGTATGTTTATTGTTATTGATAATTGTGAAATACATTTATAATTCACGAGGAAAAACAAAAGAAATCGCTGGCGTGTCGGTGCATGGTTTTATATGTGATAAAAAATCATGTTCATTTACATAAACTTTAGCTTTGGTTATCTCGGCTTAGACAACGCTGATTTTTAAATTACTTCGCCAATGAACTCATAAGATGGGTCGTTTTTTAAGCCATTTAAAACACTCGCAGTGCGTGCTTTATGTAAATGAACATGATTCTTTATCACATATAAAACCACCGACACGCTAATCATTTCCTTATGAATTATTAGTTAGTTTTTTTTTAAGGTGATTCATCAGTAATTGTTCTGGAAATCCCCCACCCCCATATGGCGCCATCTTGACTCTTTTACGAGTTACAGGAACAATCGCAATTGCTCAACCGTTATTGAATTTTTTAACAAGGATCCTACCAAAAAATTCTATTTAGTTATACAAGAAAACATGATATTTTAGCGAATCAAAAAAAAAATATGTCTTCCCATCTTAGACATATTATTTTGGAAAGCATACATTCCTGCTCGTGTTTTAAATAGTACTTAAAAAGCTGTATTATTGTTTCCTCCAAACTATTAAAATCTGCTGCTACAATTTAAGAGTACTTTGTGATGTGTTTTTTCAGGACCCACTTTGCTTCTCACAAGCTTTCTTGTTCAAAGTAAACTAGGGACATCTGCATTAGACAGGTAAGACGGTATATATATGGCTTCAGCTTCGCTAGATAAATCTTACGTTAAATTTCACGTTTACAAATATTACACACAACTAAACTATCGCGACTTTTTTGCCGAGACGGTAACTCTGTGATACCACTGATACGCCTACATTATTTGTGCGCGCAACTTTTTTTTCTAATGCTTTTACAATAGTCAGGAAACGTATCAATAATCAACATTGACCGCACCTCTTAATTTTCGGGAATCCTTGTTCTAAAATAAGTGATTTGAAATTTCGGATCGCAGAGCATGATGCACAAGCAATTTACTTAGTCAAAGTGAAAGTACATGTCCTAACCAATGTCTTACTATTCTACAGGGTGTATAAAAAAAACTGAACAGATTTAAAATTGCTCTCAATTTCGCAAAACAGCTATTTGTATCCGTTTTTTTATACATATAGCCTCTTTGGGTGCTTATAATGTAGAATTATGAGAAAAATTTCTCGAACTCAAATTTTGTGAACCAGGGGGGTGTGTCTTTTTCAACAAATTAAAAATGGCTCGCGCACAAAATTTAAAAGCTGCAATCATATTTTGAATTAACAGATGGAAAATTTGTCGGGTTTTTAATTACTGTACAAAATTTCAGACAATTTGGTTTAGTTTAAGCCCCTTAACTATTCACGCAAAGTTACATTTTTCTTAAAAATCAGCTATTTGCATGCTTAATTAATGCATTTGCCTAATTTGCATATGTCAGCAATATGCAAATTAGGTAAAGGCTTTAATTAAGCATGCGAAAGGCTGACTTTTTAGAACAAAATGAATAGTTAAAGGACTTAAACTAAACCAAATTGTCTGAAATTTTGTACAGTAATTAAAAACCCGACAAATTTTCCATCTATTAACTCAAAATATGATTACAGCTTTTAAATTTTGTGCGCGAGCCATTTTTAGTTTGTTGGAGAAGACACACCCCCCTGGTTCACAAAATTTGAGTTCGACAACACAACACGCATACGTTGTCGTAGTTTGTGTGCTTGATTTACACAGTACGACTCAAGTTGTTTGCAGTTTGCATGCGACAGTTTTAGGCAAAAGTTGTGTAGTGTAAATCGGTCTTCTTACAATAATTGTTTATAATGTTCTTTTAAAGTATGCACGAATATCGTCTGTCGAGTTGGCTGGGTCAACAAGAGGATCTTCATCGCTTGGTTGTCTATCAAGCAGATCACTACATGTCGGCGTGGACCAAGAGATGTATACGGCAGGTGAGGGTGGTGGGTGATGAGTGAGGGTGAGGGAGGGGTCTGAACAAGCAGATCATTACATACATATCAGCGTGGACCAAGAGATGTATACGGCAGGTGGGTGGGTAAGGGTGATGGGTGGGGGAGGGGGTCTGTATCAAGCAGATCACTATATATGTCAGCGTGGACGAAGAGATGTATACGGCAGGTGAGAGTGGTGAGTGGGGGAGGGTGTCTATCAAGCAGGCCACTATATGTTTGCGTGTACCAAGAGATGATTGGAGTGAGGTTAAATATTCAGGGTCAAGGGGACTGTAACAAGCAGATCGCTGCGTGAACAAGGAGATGTATAAGACAGATGCATTGTGGTATATTTTGCTATCCTTGAACGTCAATTATCAAAAGCTAGGTTGACCGAACAATTTTCATATTTTTAGGCTGATCTTATTTTAATTGTTGCTTTGGGTGACAAAGAACCTCATGTTGGACAGGTAGATATTAAGTGTATATTTTATTTTTATAAGTTATCGTTAAATATATATGAATGCAGTGTATATATATATAGGAAACCTTTAAATGTGCCATTTATCGCTTATTATTATTATTATTATTATTATTATTATTTTGTGAAAGGAGGAGTGGTAACACTATAGGTTTCTTCCTGTCTGGTAAAATGAAACACTCTTTTGTTTTGCAGCTTGAGATGCAGATGGAAAATATGCAAGTGCGTGCGCAGAAAGAGTTGGTTTTGCTTCATCGTGCATTACATAAGAACAGAATAACCAGAACTGTAGAGTGGTTGAATGCCAGAGGCTGGATCTCTGCACATCATCATGTAAGGGTTTGTTTGTATTATTTGTCTGGGGTTTCTGTGTGAACTGTATCTGTTTGCTTATCTGCCAGTGTCTGTTTGTTTATTCGTTTGTTAGTTTGTTTGTGTCTTGTGTTTGTTTATTTGTTTGTTTTATTTTGTTTGTTATTTTGTTTGTTCGTCTTCTTACCCCAATGACTGCAGAGTGATTGAATCCACATCTCTGTTTTTCACTATGCAAAGTCAAATGTTTGCTTGTATGTCTCTCTGTCATTACCACTGATGTCATTACTTGTTGTTATTCAGCCTGTATTAAAGTATCAGTTGTACGCCAGCTTGCAATTTATGCTTCTTTGTAACATTCGCTTACGTTTTCGTCACTAGATTCGCTGTCCAAAAAAGGTTTTGAGCAGAAAGTCGTTGGTAGAAAAGGTAGATATACTCCATTATTCAAAGAAGTCCATGCTTTGTTAAAGCACACTACCAATTATTAACTACAAACTATAGTAAAAAAGTCGCAGTAAAAAGATTTTATACAACTAACCCACAATGGGCAAAGTTGTAACCAAACTATTTTTTGTTTTTATTTAGTATCTTCATAATCCTGATAATTACGAAATTCCAGCTCGGTAAGCATCAGTCGAATCCTGCCTATACTCCCAGAACAGGGGTGTTGAATTTTGGAAAAATTTTAGTCGCTTAAAGGATTAGTGTCAGGGTCAGGCATTGCGGGTTTTTGTTATTGTTTACATTTTACTCAAATACAACAAATAGCTATAAAAATACCTTGTTTGGCACATTTCTGATAAAAATCAGACAAAAAGAGCAAGGATTATGAAAGGATGGTTTAAATATATATGACGGATTGTAAAAACTTTCCAGATCATCTAATCTGTTCGTCCCGAAAAATGGCCGCCAGCAGGAGTTTGAGCCCGCGAATTCCTGGTGTGACACTAATCCTTTAAGTGGCTATACCAGTGGATACAATCTCATTACCAAATTTAATATCAGGTCTCCATAAATCAATGCGTTACGAAGTATGTTCATTGTATTTAGATAAAATGAGAAAACAGTAATAATGCTGAGTTGGGCCTGGGGCCAGTTGTATCATTCAAGCCCGTTTTAAATTAACTTAAATTAACGGTGGATAAGTCAAAATTAAACATCACTCTTATATCTCTCGTGAATCAGTCAACTTAAATATTGTGCACTAAATATGTAGTTGTAAACATTATCGTTCTATTAAGGTTCAAAACTTTTAGTTTGGTTGTTGAATGAATGAATGAATGGATAGACTTGCTTTCTATTTTGAGCATAACCACCGTTTAAGCTAAATGGGCTTGATTCAACCGACCCCTGTACTCTTTTAATTTCTATGCTAACATCAATTTTTTTATGGACTCAATGATAATGGTCTATTTCATTTATTTTCAAGTCATTCAGATTTCGCAAGGCTTGCTCGGCGTTTAACTGGGACTTCGGTAGGACTTGTTCTCGGAGGGGGCGGTGCAAGGTAGGAGGACATTATTACTTACAAAAGAAACATTTACATTTCAAAATAGTGATCCTACTCACACAAGCTCATGACGAGTGTTTAGCCATTGCATGGAATTGATGATGAATACCATTGAAAAAATTAGTGGGTATACTGAGCGTTGTGTAGCTACTAGCTAGCCTTGCAACTGGTCGTGGTACAGTATGCTAATAAACCTGCATCTAAGGTCCCGTTTACATGAGACCGGAACGAAGTCAAACCGGGACCATATATATAACGCGAGATACGACTACGAAAGAATACTAATTAGGATTATTTATAATAGATGTTTACATGAGACCGAGACGAAAATAACTCGGACCGGTCTCTAGTCAGAATGCCTGCTAGACCGA